GAGTGAGTTAGTTGCCAGAGTGAGTGAGTGAGTTGCCAGAGTGAGTTGAGTTGCTAGAGTGAGTGAGTTGCCAGAGTGAGTGAGTGAGTTGCCAGAGTGAGTTGAGTTGCCAGAGTGAGTGAGTTGAGTTGCCAGAGTGAGTGAGTTGAGTTGCCAGAGTGAGTGAGTTAGTTGCCAGAGTGAGTTGAGTTGCCAGAGTGAGTTGAGTTGCCAGAGTGAGTTGAGTTGCCAGAGTGAGTGAGTGAGTTGCCAGAGTGAGTGAGTGAGTTGCCAGAGCGAGTGAGTTGCCAGAGTGAGTGAGTGAGTTGCCAGAGTGAGTGAGTTAGTTGCCAGAGTGAGTGAGTGAGTTGCCAGAGTGAGTGAGTTGCCAGAGTGAGTGAGTTAGTTGCCAGAGTGAGTGAGTGAGTTGCCAGAGTGAGTTGAGTTGCCAGAGTGAGTTGAGTTGCCAGAGTGAGTGAGTGAGTTGAGTTGCCAGAGTGAGTTGAGCTGCCAGAGTGAGTGAGTGAGTTGCCAGAGTGAGTGAGTGAGTTGCCAGAGTGAGTTGACTTGCCAGAGTGAGTGAATTGCGTTGCCAGAGTGAGTGAGTTGCCAGAGTGAGTGAGTTGAGTTGCCAGAGTGAGTGAGTGAGTTGCCAGAGTGAGTGAGTTCAGTTGCCAAAGTGAGTGAGTTGCCAGAGTGAGTGAGTGAGTGAGTTGCCAGAGTGAGTGAGTTGCCAGAGTGAGTTGAGTTGCCAGAGTGAGTGAGTTAGTTGCCAGAGTGAGTTGAGTTGCCAGAGTGAGTGAGTTAGTTGCCAGAGTGAGTGAGTGAGTTGCCAGAGTGAGTTGAGTTGCCAGAGTGAGTGAGTGAGTTGCCAGAGTGAGTTGAGTTGCCAGAGTGAGTTGAGTTGCCAGAGTGAGTGAGTTAGTTCCCAGAGTGAGTTGAGTTGCCAGAGTGAGTGAGTTGAGTTGCCAGAGTGAGTGAGTGAGTTGCCAGAGTGAGTTGAGTTGCCAGAGTGAGTGAGTTGAGTTGCCAGAGTGATTGAGTGAGTTGCCAGAGTGAGTGAGTGAGTTGCCAGAGCGAGTTGAGTTGCCAGAGTGAGTGAGTTAGTTGCCTGAGTGAGTGAGTTGCCAGAGTGAGTTGAGCTGCCAGAGTGAGTGAGTTAGTTGCCAGAGTGAGTTGAGTTGCCAGAGTGAGTGAGTTGCCAGAGCGAGTTGAGTTGCCAGAGTAAGTGAGTGAGTTGAGTTGCCAGAGTGAGTTGAGTTGCCAGAGTGAGTGAGTGAGTTGACAGAGTGAGTGAGTGAGTTGCCAGAGTGAGTTGAGCTGCCAGAGTGAGCGAGTTGAGTTGCCAGAGTGAGCGAGTTGAGTTGCCAGCATGAGTGAGTTAGTTGCCAGAGTGAGTGAGTGAGTTGCCAGAGTGAGCGAGTTGAGTTGCCAGAGTGAGTGAGTGAGTTGCCAGAGTGAGTGAGTTGCCAGAGTGAGTGAGTGAGTTGCCAGAGTGAGCGAGTTGAGTTGCCAGAGTGAGTGAGTTAGTTGCCAGAGTGAGTGAGTGAGTTGCCAGAGTGAGCGAGTTGAGTTGCCAGAGTGAGTGAGTGAGTTGCCAGAGTGAGTGAGTTAGTTGCCAGAGTGAGTGAGTGAGTTGCCAGAGTGAGCGAGTTGAGTTGCCAGAGTGAGCGAGTTGAGTTGCCAGAGTGAGTGAGTTAGTTGCCAGAGTGAGTGAGTGAGTTGCCAGAGTGAGCGAGTTGAGTTGCCAGAGTGAGTGAGTGAGTTGCCAGAGTGAGTGAGTTAGTTGCCAGAGTGAGTGAGTGAGTTGCCAGAGTGAGCGAGTTGAGTTGCCAGAGTGAGTGAGTTAGTTGCCAGAGTGAGTGAGTGAGTTGCCAGAGTGAGCGAGTTGAGTTGCCAGAGTGAGTGAGTGAGTTGCCAGAGTGAGTGAGTGAGTTGCCAGAGTGAGCGAGTTGAGTTGCCAGAGTGAGTGAGTTGCCAGAGTGAGTGAGTTGCCAGAGTGAGTGAGTTGCCAGAGTGAGTTTGCCAGAGTGAGTGAGTGAGTTGCCAGAGTGAGTGAGTTGCCAGAGTGAGTGAGTTGAGTTGCCAGAGTGAGCGAGTTGAGTTGCCAGAGTGAGTGAGTTAGTTGCCAGAGTGAGTTGAGTTGCCAGAGTGAGTGAGTTAGTTGCCAGAGTGAGTTGAGTTGCCAGAGTGAGTGAGTGAGTTGCCAGAGTGAGTTGAGCTGCCAGAGTGAGTGAGTTAGTTGCCAGAGTGAGTGAGTGAGTTGCCAGAGTGAGTTGAGTTGCTAGAGTGAGTGAGTTGCCAGAGCGAGTTGAGTTGCCAGAGTGAGTGAGTGAGTTGCCAGAGTGAGTTGAGTTGCCAGAGTGAGTGAGTTGAGTTGCCAGAGTGAGTGAGTTAGTTGCCAGAGTGAGTGAGTGAGTTGCCAGAGTGAGTTGAGTTGCCAGAGTGAGTTGAGTTGCCAGAGTGAGTGAGTGAGTTGCCAGAGTGAGTGAGTGAGTTGCCAGAGTGAGTGAGTGAGTTGCCAGAGCGAGTGAGTTGCCAGAGTGAGTGAGTGAGTTGCCAGAGTGAGTGAGTTAGTTGCCAGAGTGAGTGAGTGAGTTGCCAGAGTGAGTGAGTGAGTTGCCAGAGTGAGTGAGTGAGTTGCCAGAGTGAGTTGCCAGAGTGAGTGAGTGAGTTGCCAGAGTGAGTGAGTGAGTTGCCAGAGTGAGTGAGTGAGTTGCCAGAGCGAGTGAGTGAGTGAGTTGCCAGAGTGAGTGAGTGAGTTGCCAGAGTGAGTGAGTTAGTTGCCAGAGTGAGTGAGTGAGTTGCCAGAGTGAGTGAGTGAGTTGCCAGAGTGAGTGAGTGAGTTGCCAAAGCGAGTGAGTTGCCAGAGTGAGTGAGTGAGTTGCCAGAGTGAGTTGCCAGAGTGAGTGAGTTGCCAGAGTGAGTGAGTGAGTTGCCAGAGCGAGTGAGTGAGTTGCCAGAGTGAGTGAGTTAGTTGCCAAAGTGAGTGAGTGAGTTGCCAGAGTGAGCGAGTTTGAGTTGCCAGAGTGAGTGAGTTAGTTGCCAGAGTGAGTGAGTGAGTTGCCAGAGTGAGTGAGTTAGTTGCCAGAGTGAGTGAGTGAGTTGCCAGAGTGAGCGAGTTGAGTTGCCAGAGTGAGCGAGTTGAGTTGCCAGAGTGAGCGAGTTGAGTTGCCAGAGTGAGTGAGTTAGTTGCCAGAGTGAGTGAGTGAGTTGCCAGAGTGAGCGAGTTGAGTTGCCAGAGTGAGTGAGTGAGTTGCCAGAGTGAGTGAGTTAGTTGCCAGAGTGAGTGAGTGAGTTGCCAGAGTGAGCGAGTTGAGTTGCCAGAGTGAGCGAGTTGAGTTGCCAGAGTGAGCGAGTTGAGGTTGCCAGGTGAGTGAGTTAGTTGCCAGAGTGAGTGAGTGAGTTGCCAGAGTGAGCGAGTTGAGTTGCCAGAGTGAGTGAGTGAGTTGCCAGAAGTGAGTGAGTTGCCAGAGTGAGTGAGTGAGTTGCCCGAGTGAGCGAGTTGAGTTGCCAGATGAGTGAGTTAGTTGCCAGAGTGAGTGAGTGAGTTTGCCAGAGTGAGTGAGTGAGTTGCCAGAGTGAGCGAGTTGAGTTGCCAGAGTGAGTGAGTGAGTTGCCAGAGTGAGTGAGTTAGTTGCCAGAGTGAGTGATTGAGTTGCCAGAGTGAGCGAGTTGAGTTGCCAGGAGTGAGCGAGTTGAGTTGCCAGAGTGAGCGAGTTGAGTTGCCAGAGTGAGTGAGTTAGTTGCCAGAGTGAGTGGTGAGTTGCCATAGTGAGCGAGTTGTGAGTTGCCAGAGTGAGTGAGTGAGTTGCCAGAGTGAGTGAGTTAGTTGCCAGAGTGAGTGAGTGAGTTGCCAGAGTGAGCGAGTTGAGTTGCCAGAGTGAGTGAGTGAGTTGCCAGAGTGAGTGAGTTAGTTGCCAGAGTGAGTGAGTGAGTTGCCAGAGTGAGCGAGTTGAGTTGCCAGAGTGAGCGAGTTGAGTTGCCAGAGTGAGCGAGTTGAGTTGCCAGAGTGAGTGAGTGAGTTGCCAGAGTGAGTTGAGTGAGTTGCCAAGTGAGCGAGTTGAGTTGCCAGAGTGAGTGAGTGAGTTGCCAGAGTGAGTGAGTGCCAGAGTGAGTGAGTGAGTTGCCAGAGTGAGCGAGGTGAGTTGCCAGAGTGATGAGTTAGTTGCCAGAGTGAGTGAGTGAGTTGCCAGAGTGAGCGAGTTGAGTTGCCAGAGTGAGTGAGTGAGTTGCCAGAGTGAGTGAGTTAGTTGCCAGAGTGAGTGATTGAGTTGCCAAGTGAGCGAGTTGAGTTGCCAGAGTGAGCGAGTTGAGTTGCCAGAGTGAGCGAGTTGAGTTGCCAGAGTGAGTGAGTTAGTTGCCAGAGTGAGTGAGTGAGTTGCAGAGTGAGCGAGTTGAGTTTGCCAGAGTGAGTGAGTGAGTTGCCAGAGTGAGTGAGTTAGTTGCCAGAGTGAGTGAGTGAGTTGCCAGAGTGAGCGAGTTGAGTTGCCAGAGTGAGTGAGTTAGT